ACCGTACTGTCAACACGCCCATGTGAAAGGGGGGTCAGAAGCCGCCGTCCCAACGGGCGACGAAGTGGAAGCCACTGCATGTTGCCGACTCCAAAGGATGGGCACCCGGAATGGCTGAGGCCAGCGCCCGGTGTGTCCCGGCCCGCGAACGTCGCGGGCAAAATGCTGGTGGGGTTACGCGAAGCGTCAAGAATTCGAATACACAGTTACAGACAAGCCGTTTGGGAAAAAGTGCGCAAGAGAGCTCTGCGGATCAGGCCGAGAACAACCGATTCGAGGGAATCGGAAGGGCGAAAGGATGGCTACAGAGAGTTGCAGAGGTGTCACGCTCTGCATGCAAGCGCCCAGGGCCCCCATGGACTGCTCATGGCAGAGTAGTCGGCTGGGTAAGCCAAAGATCGGTGAACAACACGACGTACACACGCGCATACAGATCGGGGAGGGTGAATGCAGGTCCTCTGGCCTGGCCAGCCAAATAACAGGGCTGACCAAAATGTGTGAGTGACGAATGCACAAACATCGAGCATGCAACCTCACAGTAGACGTGGCGAAGTCGAGCGTCAAGGCTTCCAGAGCGCCTGATATCACAAGCGGCTATACATTGGCTGAACGCCTCGGCAAAAAGTTCTACTGTGAACTCGACCACATCAGCTAGAGGACCATCTCCCAGCCTTAAAACCCAGCCTACTTGCCAGGATGATATTCATACAATATTACTATAAGCTTCCGCGCCACGAATCGGAATTCTGAAATTGAGCCTGCCCAGCCAATCCCCGCCCCCGGAATCGCCATACACGATTTACCTCACAACCGTCCCGCCTCCCCACAGGGGCCCACCCACCCCCATCATCGGGCCACCAGGTGTTTGTCACGTGGGTCGAGCGACTGGCCAACAACGCTGCCTCGCGACACGATTGAGACAGCTGGCGAGGCCTTAAACAGGAGGTCGCGTCGCAGGTCCAGCTGCTGGTGTGGGAGCACCCTGACTTTCCCGCTTGTCGGTCTGCGGCTGACGATGGCGTCGCCGAGGGGCTGGAGGCTCTCAGCGATTCGCCTGCAAGGGGCAGCAACAATCGCTGAGGATGTACACAAGTGCGCGCGGGTGCGTGCATGCGCACGCTCCTAGGATGACGCCGCAAGGGCTCTGATCCTCCTGTCTGACCATCTCGTCCTCATCTTCCTCGTTCGCCTCCCCCACCGAGTGAACCTCCACCTTCTTCTCCTCCTCCTCCTCCTCCTCCTCCTCCTCCTTCTCCTTCTCCTCCACCTTCTCCTCATCACGTCCTCTCATCCTCCTCAACCTGCCCTCATCAATCCCTTTCCCATATGACACCGGAGAAAAAACCCAACCAAAGTCGTTTTAGGGCAAAAGGGCTATGGGGCTATTGGGCTATAGGGCGATGGGGCTATGGGGCTATAGGGCTATGGAACTATAGGGCTATAGGGCCATAGAGCTCTGAGTATATAGGGCTATAGGGCTGTAGGGCTATAGGGACCTAGGGCTGTAGGGCTGCAGGGCTATAGGGCTATTGGGGTATGGGGCTCTGAGGCTATGGGACTATAGAGCTATAGGGGCCATAGGGCTATGAGTCTCTAGGGCTGTAGGGCTATAGGGCTATAGGGCTATAGAACCATAGTGCTACAGGGATATAGGGCTATAGGGCTATATGGCTATAGGGCTATAGGCATATAGAGTTATAGAGATATAGGGCTACAGGGCCATAGGAATACAAGGCTACAAGGCTATGAGCCTCTAGGGCTATAGGGCTATAGGGATACAGGGCTATAGGGCTATAGGGCTATAGGGCTAGGGGGGCTATAGGAGCACAGGGCTATAGGGCTATGTGGCCATGGGGCTCTGGGGCTATGGGACTATAGAGCTATAGGGCCATAGGGCTATGAGTCTCTAGGGCTATAAGGCAGTAGGGCTATAGGACCTTAGGGCTATAGTGCTAAAGGGATATAGTGCTATAGGGCTGTAAGCAAGTAGAGCCATAGGGCTATAGGACCAATGGAATACAAGGCTATAAGGCTATAAGAATATAGGGCTATAGGGATATAGGGCTATAGGGCTATAGGGCTATTGGACGTTTGGGCTATAGGGGTACAGGGCTATAGGGCTATAGGGCTATAGGGGCTATGGGGCTCTGGGGCTATGGGCCTATAGGGCTATAGGGCCATAGGGCTATAAAACTATAGGGCTATACGGCTATAGGGCTATAAGGCTATAGGGTTCGAGGGCGATAGGGCTATAGGGTTATAACGCTAAAAGGCTATAGGGCTGTAGGGCTATAGGGCTATTGGGCAATAGGGCTATAGGGCTATTGGGCTATGGGGCTATAGGGCCATACTATAAGGCTACAGGGCCAATGGGACAATAGGGCTATAGAGCTATGGGGCTATTGGGCTATAGGGCTACGGGGCTATAGGGCTATAAGGCACCCAGGAACCCAAGCACCTGGGCACCCGGGCACCAGGGCGGGCCGCGGAAATCGGTGGCACACCCCACCCTAACCATACGAATCCGCTTGGACCCCTTCAGAGGCAAGCTTAGATTGGGGAATACATAACGCCTCCTTGTCGCTCCCCCAGACGGGTCGGTAAGGCGGACCCAGCGTTTCGCTTGAGACTTTCTTTCTCACCTCTTCGGATCCAGAAGCTCAAAATTTGCAACAGCTTCACGGATGGAGCGCGGGCAATTTTCAATATGCGGCTCTCGCGATCGCACCACACACATGACTTGCGAAACTTGACAACAGCTTCAAGGATGGAGGGCGGATTGGTTTCAAACCACGGTGCTCGCCTTAGCGCCACGCACATTGGTCTTAAAAACTTGCAGCCGTTATCACGGATGGAGGTAGGGTAGTTTTTTTTATGTGGCTCTCGCCTTAATGCCGCGGACTTCCGCCTTTAGACTTTACAGCCGTTTCGATGATGAACGGCGGACATGTTTCAACATGTGCCTCTCGTTTTAGCTCCGCGCACATGTCTTTTCAATGCTTGCACCTGCTTCAAAGGTTCGCATGGTCGAAGTCCCAGGAAAGATGTGCTGGCAAGATTTAAAACTGCCTAGGCGCAGCAGTCACGTTGGCTCGCGGTGTCAGAGTCACAGGAACGGCTCTCTGCCACGATCTACGCTTGTCAAGACGAAACGGCCACATTCACTCGCAACGCTGAAACCCCAAGAACTGTATTTTGGCACGATGTGGGATTCTCACACGATCACCTTCCCATGACGCATTCCCCGTAATGGAAATATTTGTGTAAGGTCATACCAAGAAGGAACTTGAATGGAGGGCTGTTTGCAATATCGTTGGTGCGCCTTGGGTTTACATTGCTCCACCTTCTCCTCCTCCTCCTCTTCCTCCTCCTCCTCGTCCCGCCCTCTCCTCTTTCATCTTCGCGTTTTCCCCCTCGTCGTCTCCTCCCACCCCTCCTCATCCACGTCCTCCTCCTCGCCCTCCTCCCAGCCAGCGGTAAATCCAGTTGCAAATCGAGACAGAACGAAAAACGAAAAAACAGCTGAAGGTACCCCCAAACAACAGGTATCCCTCATTTCCGAGCACAGACCGCATCGGACACAAGAAGGTGCACCCTAGAGAATATGAATCCTTTTGCCTTGTTTCCTCCTTTGACCTCTACTCCCTATTTGTATATATTCCTATGTTGTCCTCTCTCTAGCCGATAATGGCCCAATCTGGGACCCTCCATCCGAGGTGCGAGAACAATACAAAATCCATGTGTTTGCTCTCAACATGGACATATGCCGCCCATGCTGCAAAAACGCACAACGGAAGTGGGACGGGGCGCACATCCTGCGCGAAAGGCCGAAATGTGGCTGTCGTTCCGGCGCCGACCTCGAGTTCCTCAAGACGTGAACTCCCGCTGGGGAGCGGCGCAGATATTTCGCACGCCACTTCGCCGACGCGCGAACGGGAGAACATGGAGTTCTCGCATCGGCGCCGCGCAAATGTCACTTGAGACTGGCGTTCCAGCCTAGACGCGGCGCACAGCTTCACTCGCCCATTGCGGGGGACCCGCGCGGCTCCGCTTTCGCAGCCCGTGCAGAAGCGATGCCCCGCGCGGGGGCGCGGCGCATGGCTCGCTAGCCGACTCGTGTGCCCAGCCCGCCCGCGGCCGCGGCCTCGCCCACGCCTTCGACCGGCTGGGGCACGAGGGCGGGCAGAAGGCCGCACCGGCGCCGCGGCGGGCCGCAGGAGGACGCCCGCGCCAGAGGCAGCAGGGCGCCTCGCAGCGGCGAGTTCAGACGTCTCGCCTCACGCACGCACAGAGCTAGGCCGAAGGCCCTCCACGCCCTCCTGAGTCGGAGCCCGCTCTCCTGCAGGGTAGGCCGAAGCAGGCGCAGTGCGCACGCGTCCTGTCCTGTACGGGGCATCACCCTTAGACAGGGGTAGGGCGTCACCTTCTTGAACCCAAGAGGACTTCAAAGGCGGGCGCCATCGGCAGGCTCCTCGAACGAATGATCGACGACGACGAGCTACACTCGACTGCTAGGGGCCGAAGCATTTTGACGGGGTTCCTTCCTCTGGGCTTCCGCATTGCACTTGAGGGACTTTGGACGGGCGCCACTTGAAGGACTCGAATGGTGAAGAGAGAAGAATAAGGACGTACCTTTGAATATCTCATCTCTCTGCCTGGGGCTACAGACTCGCAGCGAAAGCTGTTGGGATCCAAACATCACCCGCAGGAGATAAGAAGAAATAATAAAGAGGGGAAGGGAAATTGATCAGAGGAGGAAGAAGGAAAAGGAAGTTCACCTGGAAGAAGGAAGACGGCAGAAATCTAAACTTTCGGAGGTCTACGCGGATGTCTTGAGTCGGAGGTCTACCGCCCTGGCGGCGCTTCGAGCGCCGCCCCTGGCATGCTCCGCGCCACATAGGGGGCCCAGCGCCGATCCAAGACATCACCGCAGACCTCCGAGAGTGTATGCTGATGCCGCTCGCTTCCCCTTCTTACTATTATTCGTAACCCTGCTACTGCTCGCATTCTCAATATTATTAATAATACGCGTTGTACTAGTATGTGTTATTCGTGGTATTACGGTTGGTGTCCTCACTGCTCGTCATATTCTTCTTCCTCTGATTATCATGATAAGCATTATTGCTTGTAACCTTCTGATTGGGGGTAGTAATACTAATAGTAAAAAAAAGTATAATGTTAATGTGCCGCTGCCCGCGCTCAGGGCAGAGTACCACGAGCCCCCGCGGCCGGCAAGAAAGAGGAGGGGCACTGCCCGTCTGCCCGTGCGCGCGAGGAGTGCGGCTCCGGCCCCTTGGAATGATTGCGCCTGTGCGAGGCGATCCGGAGAGGGCCCCGCCTCCGAGGAGCCCTCGCGGTTGGCCGTCTCCTCTTCTGCGGAGCGCGGCGGAAGCGGGAGAACGCAGAGGAGGGAAGAGGAGACGAGGAAAGGACGAGAGAAAGAGAGAGAGAGAGAGAGAGAAAACCTAGAGACGGCCCAGATGTCCCCAAGAGCCCTCCAAGAGGCCCCGGAGAGGCCACCCAAGGGCCCCTCACATGCATCCAAGAAGCTCCTGACCCACCAGATAACTTCCAAGATCGTCGCAAGCTTTCACTCCTTCTGGGGGATCGGTGGAATGCCCAAATCGTGTCCGAGCAGAGGGGGTCGGAGGATTGTGCGGCATCGCCGATACATCGGCGACGTCGGGAAGGAGAAAATCGGGTTCCACATCGAGCCGCATCGCCGATGCATCGGCCATTCGGCGATCCCCCAACTCCGTTTACTCGGACCCCTCATCCAGGAAGCCTGGAGAACATGAGGCAGAAGAGGAGGAAGAATCCGAGAAATCCATCTCGCCGGCATGAGGAGAGAAACAGAATTCAGGGGGCAGCAAAGCACACCAAAACAAAACAAAGGAAAACGGAAACGCACCGCCCTCGCGCTTCCATGGCCCCCGCGCCTGGGCGGCTGGAGGGCGCCCGGGCACCGCGGGCAGTGCGAACTTGAGCGCCTCCGCCTTCCACTCGCGCACCTGGGCACCGGGCCATCAGCCCACGAAGCGGATCTGTCCATACCAACAGATGTGGTCGGATCCAGGTACCCAGACATCCAACGCCTCTTGACAAAAAAACAAGAAGGAAGGCTTAAATAGTTTTCGGCATCAGGGGCTCTCTCTGGAGAGCCTTTTGGCCGTTTACGGCCGCCGGGGACCTTCGCCAGGCCCCGGGACCGTCAAACATTGCCTCGGGACGAAAGGCTGGCCCTGGACAAAGGGTCGGGACTTCTGGAGACCACACACTTGGAAGCAAGAGAAGTATGCACATGCACCGATTCTGGCCAGGCCCATCCTGAGCCCAGGGTCGGTTCATACGCCCTCCTGCCTTGGCCAGGAAAGCGTATGTACCGATCCTGGGCCCAGGACGGGCCTGGCCAGGATCGGTGCATGTGCACACTTCTCTTCGACCGGACACCGAGAAAATCGAGACATCGGCGGTCTGGAGACCCAGATCTTCGACGGTCTGGTGGCTCCGATCCCAGCCCTGCTCCTCAATTTCGGCTCCTGGGGGCCGTGTTCGGCCCCCGTGGCCCTACAAAAGCGGCCCAGGACAGAACACCTATCCCTGGGAGGTGCTCGGCTTTGAGAAAGCGTCACGTCGTCGGGTGTCAAGGAATATGGCCGGCTTCGGAAACCCTGAGTCCAAAGAAGTTTGAATATACTGTGTAGCCGAACTGCCTCCATGCTTCTACTCGGCAAAGAACCTTCGCCGTTTCTACTCATTTGTTCCCCCCTCTCACACACACACACACACCACCAGAACGCGCAGCCTCATGTCATAGTGCCATGGCGAAGAGATCGTGAGAGCGACTGCCCACGCATGTGCAGTACGCATCCGCGCAAAACAACTGCGGCCACCGACTGGGCTGCAGAACGACCCATGGCTGCCACGGAGACTTGGACGCCCGTGTTATCCGGGAGAACTGCTGTGCTGGGTAACTTCCGTTTGGGCCCCCGAGGCGCGAATCTGTAGCTACCCCTGACCGCCCCCGGCCCTGCCGATTCAGGGCTCTGAGAGGGACGGTGCGCGGCGGGACGTGGCCAGCTGGGCCGAACCGCCGTGCGCCGAACCTGCGCCGTGCGGCGGAGGTTCGGCGCACGGCGGAGGTACCGCAGCAACGTTGTTGCCTTTGCCGCCTTCCGCTGGCCTTCCGCTGGCCTCCCGCTGCCCCCCGCAGGGAAAGAGGTGACAACGTCTCGACTCCTGGAGGGCGGGGCCCTCTCTGGAACGCCCCCTGCGGAGACGTGCCCCGAGAACCTTGCGGCCTTGGATACGGAGGCCTGCCCAGGTAGGGCACCCGCCCTCCCCGGATGCCCGAGGGGGCGGGGTATCTCCACATCCCACGGCACGCGACGATGCCGTCTTGACGATCCGCGGCCGAACAGCCCTCCCGACCTCCTCCGCAGGGGCAGCTCTCCGGCCCGGACCCGTGCTGGAATGCCCCCAGAGACCGGAAACGGCCCCAGGAGTCGGCGGAAGGGCGTAAGCCTCTGGAGGGCAACCCACCAAACTGGGCCCCAAGACATCGGACGACGTGACGTGTTTCGCAGCCCGCGGCCCCAGACCTCCCGACCACTTCCCTGGGGGAAGTGTTCTATCCCGTACCCGTTCTTGATACAGTGGAGGCCTGTCCGCAAGAAACCTTCCACAAGAAACCCAACCCTAAGACCCTGGGGCTTCCCTTGATTGCGTGGTATGGGAATGTCACGCCTTCCACAACAAAACCATCAAAACCCAAGAAACACAGGGAACCCTGAAGGCAAGCAGGGTGTTTCTTGGAACGCGTTTCTTTATTTTCGGCGATGATGGGCGTCAGGGGGGGGGGGGCGGGCGGGGGGGGTATGACGTAACGCCCCCCCCCCCCGCCGAGTGACTCCGGCACCACAGCCGCGCCCGCGCGCACGACGACGATGAGCGACGAGCGACGAGCGACAACGACGACGACACGAGCAGCATGTAGGTGGTGATCTGCCCCACAGCGCCTGTGTAAACCACAATGCTCACGTGCACCACAGCGCGCGTGTACACCACAGCGCCTGCGTACACCGCAACAGCCGCGTGCAACGCAGAGCTTATGTAAACAACAATGCTTGCGTGCACCACAACGCCAGTGTACACCACAGCGAATGTGTACACCGCAGCAACCATGTGCAACACAGCGCCTGTGTACACCACAATGCTTGCGTGCACCGCAGCGCCTGTGCACACCACGGCGCCTGTCTGCACCACGGCATCCGCGTGCAACGCAGCGGTGGTGTACACAGCGCCTGCGTGCACAGGGCAGGTAAAAGGAGCACGTAGGTGATGAACTGCTGCGGACAGCTAAACGATACGCCAAGTGCTGATAATGGAATGCAACGTTATTCCCTCCTCCCTCCTCCTCCACCTCCACCTCCACCTCCCCTTTCTCCTCCTCCTGTTCCTCCTCCTCGTCCCTCACCCTTCACCCTTTTCACGCGGGACGGCGCTACAGCGCACGTGCGCCTCTCAGCGCGCACCGCATATCAGTCCATTTGGGTTTCGGACGGCCAATTTTGCTATAGCTTCCTGGACGCAGATACGAGGAGTTAGGATGATGCGGGCGGAATCGGGAGGACTCGCAGATTTCAGCGGTGCTCCTTTTTCCATCATGACTCGTTTCCAAATCTTATCTAAAACAGTTTTTCTGTGAAATCCACTGGCGCTCCATTCTGTCATCAGGATTCCATGTTTCCCACAATTATAAATGCAACCGTGGTGCTCTGTTGCACACGGTCGCTGTGGTGCACACAGGTGTCTCGGTGCACACAGGCGCTGTAGTGCGCGCAAGCATTGTGATGTACACTGGTGTTGTGTTAAACACGGCTGATGTGGTGTACGCAGGCGCTGTGGTGTACTCAAGCGCTGTGGTGCCTGCAGGCACTGTGGCACACACTGGCGCTGTGTCGCACGCGGCTGCTGTGGTGTACATAGGCGGTGTGGTGTACACAGGCGTTGTGGTGCAGATCGCCACCTACATGCTGTTGCTACCCGTCCTCGGTCATTCCTGAGCATTCCCAGACGCCGCCGGCTCGAAACGTGACGTCATCCGTTCCATCCACCCCCCCAAATGATTGCCGACAACGTGCTGGAATGAAAAAACAAGCTCCAGCCGCGTCCGCGCGCACGACGACGATGAGCGACGAGCGACGGGCGACGAGCGACGACGACGACGACGACGACGACGACGACGACAACGACGGCGGACCAGATTCCAATGCGGATTCCTATGCGGACAGCTATGCGGATCCCGATGCGCACGGCGGCATTGCGCCCAGAGCGCATTGGGGGGGGAGCGTTACGTCATAGGGGGGGGGGGGGGGGGGGGGCCATGACGCCCGTCATGCCCCAAGCAATGAAGAAACACGCTCTTGGCATGGGCCTCCACTGTAGCCCTCGGGCCTGAGAACGGCCCACACGCCCGAACCAAACAAACGGTTTGACGTCGCAGCGCGGCAGAGGCAGTCCGCACGCGCGCTCAGGCGGTCTGGCCAACTTCCAGCGCAGACTTAACGGGCGACAGGAGGAGGAAAGGACAGGCGGAAGCGACCGCGGGGCGGGAGGAGGGGAGGGGAGGGCGCTCAATCGAACCAAACAAACCAAGCAAAGACAGGAAAACAAAGAAAAAAAACAACAACAACAACAACAACAACAACAACAACAACAACAACAACAACAACAACAACAACAACAACAATAACGACAACAACAACAACACTAACAACAACAACAACAACAACAACAACAACAACAACAACAACAACAACAACAACAACAACAACGACAACGACAACAACAACAACAACAACAACAACAACAACAACAACAACAGCAGCAGCAGCAGCAGCAACAACAACAAACAAACAAACAAACAAACAAACAAACAAACAAACAAACAAACGCGCCGCGAGGCCCACGGGGGCATGTCCCCATGTCGGCGCGTACGGGTATTAGTCCCAGACGCTGCTTCGGGAGGCCCGGCTGGCCACGGGGAGGCTCCGACCGCAGGAGCAGATCGGGACTACACCCAACCTCTGGCTATTTGAGAAACTGTTTTCGCCACTCGCGGGCGGATGATCTTGATTCCTCGGAAAGAGGGACCACGAATGTCGCTGGCAGCCAGTGTGATCTCCACAAGCCGGGAGCCAGCATAGCAACAATCGGGGCCCAACGTATGCCAATACGGCTGCTATGTGGAGCTGGCAGTCTTGGACTGCATCCGGCGACTTGGAAAACGAAAGACAGAGTCTTCGCAACGACTTAGACCTGGAGTCCATCTTCTGGCTCCTAGGCAATGCCAAGGGGGGTCACCACTGGAGGGGTCGCCACTTCCTCGAGGAAACGCCACTTCCACAAGGGCATGGGGCCCTAAGAACACTCCAGAGCTACCCAAAGCGACCCCAGGCGTCCCAAAACCTCCTCCAGCCTCGAGCCCGAAACCTCGATCCTCAGGAGAACCTGGTGACACCCCTGGTGGTGACACCCCTTGGCGCTGCCTGAGGCTCCAGGGCCACAAGGAAAAACGGTGCGGGACGACGGACCGGCCCCGCCGGAAGAGGTCGAGAGCTATGGGGGCCGAGCAGTGGCAAAACAAAACAGGACGTCGGAGGGGGGGTACCTAACGCACACCCGACCAGGGCGGCACCACCCAGGGTTCTGCCTACGGATCAGAGCAGATCGGCATGGGAGATGTCTCATCGCGGTTGCCACAGGCGTTCGCGACAGCGAGAAGAAAGAAGTGGGGGTCTCTGTCTTCGGTTACCCCGAGCCGTCTCGGCGTCACCACACGTGCCAATTCCTATGACTTCGCGGGTGGTGCGCCTTGGGCTCGCCCGAGGGCTGTCTGCCTCGTGATGCAGGCGCATCTGCCTTAGAGAATTCCCCAATCGCTTTGGATTGCCCACGGCCTTTTATCGTTTTCTCACCTTGCCTTGATCACCCCGTCAGCTTGTCTTAC